TGAAGACCTGCGAAACAACTGATTTTAGCTTTGGCATTGCCAGCGCAAGTCGGCTGAGTACCTGAGCTTTAACGCGAGATTGCGACGCCAACGCCGGCGTCGACGTCGACGCAGGCGTCGTGGGCGGCAAGACACGAACAACGATCGTGCGCTATCGTTATCTTCGTCCGGCCATGCTTGCGTTTACTCTCTCTCTCTCGCTCTGCCTCTCGCAGCTACCCACGTGCGCGCTCGCTTACACAGCTTACAGTTTATCTGCTCTCTTAGCTTATCTGTTTTCCCAAATTCTCTTCGGGCTATCAGATCTTAAATGTGCATAGTCATATTTAAGAGGTGCTGTAATTCTTCAATTAATATTTATGAAAATTTATGAAAATATTTAAAAATTATACAAATGCTGTAAAACACGACTACGTGAGTTCCGTTCAAAAACTTATCGTTTGGCAATACGTTATGAATGAGGCGAAATGATCGTGCTCTCAGGTCCGATTTATGAACATGAACATTGAAATAATGAAAAACATATTTTCACGCATACATGTGGGCATGCAATTTGGGTAAGAGTCAATTGAATTCGCAGAGATCTTTTTACACTGTATCCATTGAAAATGAACAAAAAGTGTATAATGCTATAAAGCGTGTCCGATCCTGATATAATATACATATTCTACAAGAGCTAGATACTTGAATTTGTAAAATATATTCGACTATACCACACCCAAAATGAGTTTATAATTGTTTGTCCATATCTCTTATATATCCAAAATATTGATATTCAATTTTCAGACTAGGTTATTTAAGCATAAATCAAGAACTCTTAGAGGTAGAGACACCAATTTTCGGCTGTTCTCATATAATATAAGCCGATATTGAATACTCTACTATTGAATGCCTTCCCCTACTCCCTCAACGTGTAAATAAATTGATTTGTATATTTAGAGACTTGCAATTTGGTATACGCACACACACATATTTGAATGCCATCTTAATGCCCATAAAATTTCATGAAGATCGTGAAGCAACAAACATAGAAGTTACTCAACATTAAATCTCCAATGTATGTATATGGAAATAATATTGGGTTGTTTTAAGATTTGAAACCAAAACATCGTATTTTGTGAGGTGTACTTTGTAGTCGAGCACACTCGAATACAGCGGACTTTTTGTCATATTCATTTATATACGTATTTAAAACTCACAATACTTTTATCGTAACATTTACTTAAAGAAATGTACTTATATGAAAGTATTTTCTATTTTAACAAATCCTTATAATACCCTTGTAGAGGGGACTATAATTTTGTCGAGCAGAAGACATCTCTCTTTCGGTCTTTCAGTTTCAAAGTTATCATCTTAAAACTTTGCAAATGCCCGTCTCTCTATTTCAGGCAATGCAAATATCGGAGCCGGTCGAATCGTACCACTTATGATATCGCATAGGAACGATCGATCGAAAAAAACCTTTTTTGTTTTTTAAGATATCTTTTCAACTATTGGCTTAACTATGCTGCTTATACATGAGTCAAATCTTTTCAAGATCACACTACTATATTATATAGAAAAATGTGTTCAAAAATTTGTATTCTAACCTATCTGTAAGTTAAATGTCTACAAGGGTATTTAATCATCGGCACGCTGAAAATGTCCGTACTTTCTCGTTAATTTTTCAAAATTCTTCAATTTAATCACCTCATTTTGTATGTAAGACAGATTTACGAATACATCACATAATCTTTTGCCTAACTGTCGAAAGTAACCTTTGAAAATATGAATATTTTATTAAAATATTTTTGTTTAGCAATTTTTATTTTGAAAAGTAAATAATGCGTAAATAAATAATAATATCGATCGAGTTGAGTGCAAGCAGTCGTGTATATACATATCAAATTGTGCTAATCGAGTTCGCAAACAATCTTCCGGTTCGATTCTCGCAAGTTGGCGATAATAAAGTAAACCCAGCCTAGCCAAGCCCTAATAATGATATCTGGTAAGTACATAGTTATATTTATTTTAATAGCTACAGGTAAATGTGGAATTCTACGCGGTTGGAGAAGATTCACAATTGTAATTTTAATTAGGGTTTAGTTTTGCACATGTCCGCCTGCTGGGAAGTCTGCTGCGTAGCAGCTCTTTCTCCAGGTTGTAACCTAAATCCCAGATGGGATTCCAATTAAGATCTGCGACTCAGATGAGCTTGTGTCGTCCCAGCGAGGCTGTGTGCATGGGACTGCAGTTCTCGATGAGTTCCGCACCGGGTGCAGATCCCTGGCCCTGTCCCTCGTCGCTGGGCGAGGAGCCGCCGCTGGCGCTGCTGTTGTGGTGGACCCGTTTCATGGGCCGCTTGCGGTCGTGCTCGGAACAGGGATTCAGCTCCACCGTCTGCAGGCTCTGGGCGCGTTGCAGTGACAGGCGCAACGGCTTCTTTGGGGGCGTGGGTCGAACGGTGCGGCAACCCGTCGTCGGCTTCGATTCGTTCTCGCTGTCAAAGTCGAGGGACTTCACGCTGCGCATATCGCTGGGCAGACGGGCGCGCATGGTCTGAGCCTCGCTCTGCCGCGGAGTGTCGCGTCGGCGTTCCAGGCTGGGATCGGGAAGAATAATAATTTACGTTAGTTAGTGGAGGAGTATAGTCTACCGGATAGTCTTACCCGTTGCACTGATTGAGATGCTCCACGCTGCGTGCATGCGTGCTCATCAGATGCTCCCTGTGCAGCTGCTGCTGCTGCTGCAGTGCATCCCGTGGGCGCTCTCTGTCCCTGTCCCTCTCCCTATCCCGGTGGCGCTCGTGTCGCTCGCGCTGGCGCTCCTTTTCCCGCTTCTGCTGCTGCATGTAGGCCGAGTCGCTGTTAATGGATATCTTGGAGGCAGACAGCGACTTGGAGGGCATGGAATATAGATGGGGATGGGGCAGGCGTTCGCGCAGATCGATGTGCGTGTTCTCCTTGATCAGCGTCTTGGTGACATGCGCCGGCGGCAGCTCGTCGCCCACCAGCTCAATGGGCTTGCCCCCAACCAGCGTGGTTATGTAGTTGCCCCGCTGGAAGATCAGCGGCTTGTCCGGCGGAGTGGAGGGGGACGGTGGCGATGATATGCTTATGCTGGTCACATGTGCGTTGTTCGACTGTGTTGTCGCTGCTTGCAATTGTTGCTTATGTTGCTGCTGTTGCTGTGATTGTAGCTTCTGTTGCTCCTTCACTGTCTGCAGTTCGCGCACCTGCTCCTCCAGGTAGGAGATGCGATGCTGCAGGCGCATGTTGTTCTCCTTCTCCTGGTCCAGCTGCTTCTGGGGTATCGGCACGGACTTCTTGCGCAGCACGACCATCTGGCACTTGCCCGAGTTGCCCACATGCTTCTGCAGCTCCTCTTTGGTCTTGCTCGTCACCAGTCGCCCATTGATCTCCAGTATGCGATCCCCCTTGTACAGCCCGTCTCCCTCCAGGGCCCACTCCACAAAGAAGCCCGGCTGGTCAGGCCTCTGCTGGGCCGCCCAACGTCCGGAGGTGGCGTGCACGGCATGCAGGCTCAGTGTGACGCCCGAGCTGATGATGTTGTAGAGTGTCTGCGCCTCGGGCTTTGATTTCTCCAGGCGAGCCTGCAGGGCACGCGCCTCCTCCACAATCGAGAGCATCTGCAGCTCCTCACGACCCAGCGCATACTCCAGTTCCGCCTGGCGAATGCGTATGTCGATGTTGCTGCGGAAAGAGGAAGACCGCAGTCAGCAGGAAGTAGATGTAGATAATAACACTTCGGAGGCACTTACTCTGTGATGTCCAGCTTCTCGAGGGCGCTCTTCAAGTTCTTGATCTTGATGCGCTTGTTCTCCGCCTCGGACTTGAGGCGGTTCAGTTTATGCTCTGCCGCCGGCTTCTCCGACTCGTCCAATGGCGGTCCGCTGGGCCGTGGCAGCTTGCCCAGACACAGCTGGATGCGCAGATTTTGTATGACGGCCTCGCGATCCTGCAAGGCGGACCGCAGCTCCTTCGACTCGCTGCGTGTGGAGCGCGAGGAGAGCGTTCCGCCCAGAGAGCCGCCCTTGCGCCGCCGTCCCGTTGTGGAGCAATGCGAGGCGGCGCTGCTCAGCTGCAGCTGCAGCTGCGTCTCGTGGTTGCTCTCGCCCGCCGCCGAGTGCAGACTGTACTTGGCCGAGCTGGCGCAGCTCTTCGGATTGAGAATAGTCTGCAAGGAGATCAGAGTATAAAAATTCAAATTAAAAATCATCGGAAATTATATTTATATAAACAAAAGTTTCTAAGCCGCTTAAAAATTATTAACAAATGATAAATAAACTATATGCAAATTTAACTAGCATTTAGGAAGACGCGCGGGTCGTAGATCTGAGCCCCAGGGAGAGGTTAAAAAAGTTTGTTAATGGTCATTTTTATATGTGAATATGTTTGTCATTTGACACATTTGTGTTTATTTGAGGAAAGTAAAAATGTGTTTAAAAATTATAATCAGTATCGATTAAATTAAACGTGAATGTTATATATATGCTTAACTCAAAGACACACCCAAAAAAATGTCACCCCTCGGACATTCGTAGTTGTTATTATAAATATTTGAAAAGGGGCTCCTTAAACGTACTACTCAAAATCAATAATGTATTACGAATACCCTGTTCCAGTGTAATCAAAAATAATTGGATGTAAATTAATTATAAAAGAATGACGACATTTAAATGCATAGTAAAATTGCGTCTTACTTTAAGACCTTTTTATAGACAACAAAAGTAAAGTATATCTAAAATAATTGGACGATAATTGTCATATCTAAGTGTAAATGTAGTATGTAGTATGTTGTTATGTTAAAGTCAGGTGAATCATGAAATGTATTTGTATTGAGTGAGCTTATACTTAAGTGAATATAACACTTGGATGCCTATAAATAAATAATTCTGGTACTACCTACTCCATTTCCAAATCTTTATTTATTCTTTAAATATATTGTATATAATATATATTTATGTATACAAATATATTTTTCAGAGGTATTCGTTTAAATTTCAATACATAGTTGGTAATTATTATGCGAATGCGAAAAATATATAATAATTATATGGGACTATAGAAAAAGGTATCTGGGGATATTGCAGTCAGTATAAGATGTAATCCTAGGTATATTTTGAGCCATATTTTGATTTCCATTTCCCCTTAAGGAGTCAGTATATTTAACCATATACTATATATAGTATATCTAAAGTCCTTATCCAGTTCCTACTCCTTGGGTATGTCGTATACTCCACACTCCCGATTGGCTGGCACCGAAGCATCTGCAAGGAACACGATTGAGTTTTCAGTGGAAGCAAAAGAATTCTTTATGCTTACCGATTTTCTTGGGATACGGCAGATTTAGGTTTTCCATGATCTTGATGAATTCATCGATACTCTTGGTCAGTCGCGGGTTGTAGCGCTTCTCCTCCCACACGCTGCTCTCGAGCTGACCTCTGCGGAGGCAGAAGCAGAAGCGGAATCGGAGCATTATCCGGCTGGCAAATGCACATGGCAATTTCTAACTTACTTGTAGTCATGCGCCGGATAGATGCGATAGTTGTCCGGCAGGCTGAAGATCTTGGCGTGCACATTCTCATAGAGGCTCTGCGAGCTGCCCTCCTGGAAGTCGGTGCGTCCGCAGCCGCGAATCAGCAGCGTGTCGCCGGTAAAGACGCAGCCCTGCTCGTTGATCACGTAGCTCATGCAGCCGTTGGTGTGTCCGGGCGTGGCCAGCGTCTCGATCGCGTGGCGTCCGAACTCGATGCGATCGCCCTCCTCTATATGGCGATCCGCCTTGGCGCCGCTGGCCGCTGCGATCACCGACTGGCAGCCCGTCAGCTGCCTCAGCCAGCCGCTGCCCGTTATGTGGTCCGCGTGCATGTGCGTGTTAACTGAAGAGATCGAACGGGGTTTGTGGTAAGCCGCTCTCGGCACATTCCCCCCTCTCACTTACTGGCGTATTTCAGCTTGAAGCCAAGGTCTTTTACGAGCTGCGCGTCGCGCTTGGCCTGCTCCAGCACGGGATCTATGATGACGGCCTCCCTGGCGCCCACATCCGCCAGCAGATAGCTGTAGGTGCTGCTCTCCGTATCGAACAGCTGTTGGAAACAGTTTCTGTCAGCCATTGCAGCGCAATTATTTCAAGATAACGCTTTCACGCACCTGCCGAAAAAAGAAATCCGGCGTGAAGGGCTTACGCTCCGGCAGACTCATCCCGGCTGATTGGCTGTGCAGCAATCGTGTCGAAACAGGTGCGCAGAAGCTTTTGACGTGCCCGGAAACAGGTGTCGGTGCAGTTGCCGCTGCACTTACGCGAATCAGAGAAGGTAGCCGAGCGAAAGCTGAAAACAGACTGACGCCTGCGATTCTCATTTTAGTGGAGCTTGGTCGCGGAGCGTGCGATAGAGCGCGAGGGGGTGGGGCGGGGTGGGGTGTGGTTTACCGCCGATTAAAATTAACTAACGTGCTGTCTGTGTGTGTGCGTGCGTGTGTGTGTATGCGCGTGTGTCTAAGCTACCGCTTAGAGCTTTTGCTGGCTGTTGTTGTTATGCCGGTCGCGCTGTTATTGCCGTCTGTTTATTTCTGTTATGTGTATAGATAAGCACATGTGTATATTGAACAGTGTAAATAAATTGGCGAAGTGTTTGTAAACGTTGCTATGTGGATTTGTGGCTGATTCCATTTAATGAATCGCTAATTAAGCAATCTGTGTATGTACACAATAACATACATACATACATATATTTTGACATATGAATGTGTTTTGAGGAATCTGTTGCATTCACAGCACAGCTGTTACGATTACAGTTGATTCTACACTGTTAACCACTTGCAGCGCACAACAAACAAGCATTCGTTTACAAACATTTCTGGCAAATTGAACGAGTTACAAACAAATTGCACGACAAATAAGAAAGCTGTCGAAACCAACAGCTGTTGGCACGCGTACGCTCTTTCGTCAACTGAAAGCTTCGTCAAGTGGCGTCGAGCTTTTATGCGTCAACGCTCGCGAACCTGTTGCCAATGACGTCATGAAAGCTTTCGGGTGCGAGTACGTGCCAAGCGACAGCAAAACTGAACGACTGCAAAATGAAGCAAAAGCTGCAATAAGAAGCGCGCAGCGGCCGTTACATCGGCTTTCGAATGCACTCAAAGAACAACCACCGAATGCACCGAATATGTCGCACCCTCCAATTGAATGAGAAACGCAGCAAATGGCTTAACCCTTATCTTGTAATATATTCGGGCTGCACGGAAGTTGATCGACAATTTTTTACATAATATCTGTCCGGACTGGACATTGTGTCCAGTCCGAGCGTGAGAACTTTCTGTTGCGATGATCCTTTTTTTTTTTGACTTCGCTAGCTCAAAAATACATTTTTCCTCATTACTCAACAGTTCTCAACAGTTGCAACTTTGAACCGCAGCTGAGAAGAAATTGGTGTAATTTTGTGGAAGAAATTAATTGACCGTATTTGACAGAAGGATATGAACCTTACAAAGGGTGTGAATTTCAACCCGGGGTGTCAATTTGGGAAACATATTTTATCATATACATATATAACGCTAATTGGCAGCTCATATTCGATCAACATTTGAGTTTGCATTAGATTGAAACTCTGAAGTTCGAAAGTTCATTGACATATGTACGTAATTGTATGGTACATATTACATATAATAGTTTCTTATGACGAATGGGCCGCCCAGTGCTAAACATCCAAAAATACTCGTAAATAACTCTTACTTTCCATCATTTCGCTTCGAGTGAAAGTGTTTCAATAGAAGTGTTTTACAGTTGTTATTTTTAGCTTTGTGGATGACTGCTCAACCATTTATTTATATTTATTTATTTTTTACCAATTTGCAAAGAAACGCATTTGAGTCTCATATGTCTCTGGCGCATGTGGAAAGTGTTGTTTTTTTATTTTAACAGTCGGCGGAAATAGCTTCGTTATCTATTTGTAATATAAGTCAGCTTTCTGCTTTTATGGCTTTATAGACGCCTACAGGTGCATTTTTTTTAACACTTTAGTCATCAAAATCTGTTTTCATGCAGTCTTACTAAATTTGATAACGTAGGTGTAACATAAATGTCTATAAAACACATTACAACATTCCACTGAGGCTTAAGATTAAAGTATTATTTGATTATTTGCTGTAGAATAATTGAAGCATTTATCGGTAACATCATGAAATGAATTTCACTAACACAGTTTTGTGGTGCATTTTCACTCCGATTACTGCTTGTTACTGCTTTGTGCTGCTTTCTACTGCTTGGCTCAGTGTTCTGTTAATGCACAACCTCAGCAACAGAGATACGTTGTGGATAGCTGCTTTTCGAGACAACAAAACAGCTGTCATGTTAAACACTTTGTTGATTCTTTGTACTCTCGGTACAGTCAGATAGTTGGTTACTCATTTAGAGAGGACAGAACTTAAATGTAGCTAAATCAATTAGCTGTTTATCTAAACATTTAACAGTTTTCTTAGACGTTTTTGGGCCTTATGCTCGTTCAACAAGTTAACAGAGTTTATTGGTTTGATGCACTGTAGAGTTCTTAAAGAATAAATTGTGTAAGAAGTGTGAAGATTGAAGAGACAAGAAAAATACTTTATTTGTATAAAGTTATAAAATGTAAAAAAAAGCATAATAATAAATATAACAGTCGTGTGTAATCGAGACTGTGATTACATACAACTGTTATATTCATACTTATTTAAAAAGAACTTGAAGCAAACCTTAAGTTATTTAAGATTTGTTTAGTTAGACGAATATTTAAATAATGACTTGACGCTTTTTGCTGAATGAAAAAATTCGCATTTAAATTTTGTGGAAATTAGTTGGGAAATTTGTTTGTTTTTTTTTTTACGTTTCGTCTTCTTCAGCACTAAATGAATAGCTGTGAGGCATGCAGCGCAAGATTTGTCGGAATCGGTTGGGGCCGAGAAAGTGTTGCTTAAAAATGCATTACGATGCATTAACAATTAATAGCTGTAAATTGTTGGAGCTGGCTTTGGGTCTATTCAACGTTTCAAGACATAATTTCTGATCGTGTTGCATGTTGGCTTCGTACACTTGTATTTTGATTTGTGAATTTCATTTTCGACAACTTTCTAGCGTGAAATTATGTAAAGCAACTGATGCTGATATTTGTATATTGCATACAGTAAATATGCGCGTGCCTGAAGCTAATTAGCCGCACACTTATGTAATCGAACTAGACAATAGGGCGCTACGTGCACCACCCATAATTATATATGGGCATATGTTTGCACAACTTGAACTGGGCGTGAACTTACCATTGACGCCGATTTCTGCTTGGCAAAGGCGCGATGATGCGCGGAAATCGGCTCGCTAACCACGCTTCCGGTGTCCATGCTCCGACTGCGGCTCTTTGGGCGTTGTCTGCAAGAGAGAAATACAGTTTAGGATCTTTGCTTTGACTATCTTGAACTTCTCAAACGCCTGACTGGAAGATTGCGGCAAGTTGACAGCCCCAAAGCCCAAGTGCTGCCACTTCAAAGTCTGTTTAATTTGCGTTCCGCATCGTTGCGCAAAAACAATTGCCAGCCAGCAGGCAGTTGACGCTGTCTGCCGCTGTCTTCGGTCTTGGGTCTTGGGTGTTGGGGTCTTAGGTCTTGGGGTCTTGGGTCCTCGTATCCCAGTCAGCTATTTTCGGTTCGTCGATCTCAACTTCTTCTTCTGGCTTGTTACAGTTTTGTAGCGCGTCTCGTTGAGAGTTAGTTTAATTAGCTGTCGGCTGTGCTTGCAGCTTTAGTCCGTTCTCAATGTGAACGTGAATAGGTCTTAAAGTGCTTATATCATGACGCTTCTTTTACGAGCTAAAACTAGAAAGAATCTCTTTAATGACATGCAAATGCGCTGAAAGCTGAAAAAGGCGACGGCGATGTGCCGTTACGACGGCAACAACAACAACTGCAACAACAACAACTGCAACTACTGGCAACACGCACTTTCTGCGCTGCAGATACATATCGTACTCATGGATGCGCACAGTGTACACAGCAGCACACTCGAGTCTTTGTCTGGCAGCCGCAAGACAAAGATATGCATTCGATATGCAGATTTGCCTAGCGACTCACACACTCACACACACACACGCACGCACAAGATACACACACAAAAAGATACAGATACAGCTATGAACGTAGCGAGATGATGTTGCCGCTGGCTGCCTGCATAGATCGCATTACCTAATGCGGCGGCAACTGTTGCCTTTGTGCTTTTCACTTGTTGTTGTTGTTTTTTTTTGTTTTTCATTTCATTTTAGTTTTTTTTTTGCTGCCGCGCTGCCTCTCAAAGCGCACAAGAAACAAAGAGTCGCATTCATAGTTTGTCATAGATGCTGTGACACACAAATGTATCTCACAAATGCTGTCCAACTTTTCTGTCCTTGTCTATGGCGAACGATGTTCTTGAAAGTGCAGTGCAATGTTAGCTTCTTAATATATATCATTATAATGATATATAATAATATATGTCATGATCATTTTAATGATAATAAAGGGTCGATTCTTTATGGCAGTACATTCAGACAGTCACAAAGTAAGATTTCCTTCCGCTTAGAACATATTTCTACACAGAAATTATGTTTTTGAAAGTTTTAATACTTCAATTTGCTTTATAGATTGTGTTAAAAGTAAATTTGAGAGCTCATTAACATTTCGCTATTCGTGATAAATAAATTAATATATAATTCATTTTTAATTTTGCAGTTGAGCTCAACATTTATTAATTTTTTTAATTCGTACTAGTTTGAATCCGAAATTGACATTTTTAGTCACCCTGAACCTCGAACCTTGAAACCAAAAAATATACAAAATTAAATATAACTATTGTCTGAATGTATATACATATATATATATATATATGCGAAAAGAGGTTTCTGCAGCCCTTGTGCATTATTTACCATGAATTTAATTTTGGTCTGCATGCTAAATACTAAGCCGAGCTACTAATATTGATATCAATCCATAATCGTGCTTGAAAATATATTGAATTCGCAATTTGGGCACAGATTTTTGCAGAGATCTTCGGTTTGCTTGGCTTCTGTGGCACGTTTGAAGGTGTACGAACACCTGCAGCTTGGGTACTCGCACCTGTGTTTGTTTGTTCGCTGTATATAACATCACTTTGACATTGTGCTATTTTGAGTGAACTTCTTTGGCTTCAAGATTCAAACAAGGCAGTCATTAGTCTCGCAGACTAATTACCATGCTGGCATCGTTGCCGCAAATTCAACTTAGAACTTCATCAGCATGTCGGCTCTGGTTCTTATCTGTGTGTTGGCTTCGGTTTGCGTGTTGGCCACAGGTAGACAGACAGACAGACAGGTAGACAGACAGTTTTAGGAACTACACGATACGTTCCATGTTCTAGTCGCAATGGAGTCTATTGTTTTGTTCGAGACTCTAAT